AAATAAGGCTTCATGGGGTGCCTGGGTGGCTCAGTTGGTTAAGCATCCAACTTTGACTCAGATCATGGTCTCATGGTTTGTGGGTTTAAGCCCCGTGTTGGATTCTGTGCTGACAGTGCGGAGTCTGCTTGGGATTCTCCCTTTCTCTCTGCCCCTCCTCCTCTTATGCTTTCTCTTTCTCTCTGCCCCTCCTCCTCTTATGCTTTCTCTTTCTCTCAAAAACAAATTAAAGAAAAAGAAGTCTTTATATTTACTGTTTCTCACATAAACTACTTTCCATTTTATGACTAGGAAGTATCTGAAGCAGGATACAAGCTTAATTAAGGTTGTGGAAGAGGCCACTACAAGGTCTGCCCTGAGAATATTCTCCCATTTGCTATATAGTCTCTCTTTTCTAGAAGTTGATGATGAAGAGAAAGACTAGGATTGTTTAAATTGAAATTTTATCAGATTAGAACATTGCATATGACAGTGCATTAAATGAAAACAAGCAGTCAAAATGAATGACTGTCACTGCCTCCAACTTTGTGTTTTTTTTAACAACTTCTAAAGCAAGTTTGATTTGAATTATTTCTGATCATAAGCTTGGAATTTAGACCCTTCTCACTTGGGAGACTACCAACCTGGGACCATTTTCCTTTTCCTTACCAAAAAAATAGCTTTTATAGATTTGGGTTAGATACATTTAAAAACAACAAATATATGGAGAGGCAAACCAAGAAACAGACTCTTAACTATGGAGAGCAAACTAGAGTGGAGGTGGGAGGGGAGGATGGATGAAATAGGTGATGGGGATTAAGGAGGGCACTTGTTGCGATGAGCACTGGGTGTTGCATGGAAATGATGAGTCATTAAATTTTATACCTGAAACTAATATTACACTGTATGTTAACTAACTGGAATTTGAATAAAAATTTGAGGGAAAAACAAACAAAAATGAAAAATCTTAGCCACATGCCTTTTGATTGAAGAACGGTAAGGTTAATTTCTAAGGTTTATAATCTTTTAAACAAGGTATGTTTTATAGTAGTTTCCCCATTATCTGTTTAGGCATTTCCTTGTGACAATAATGGATGTATCCCCTTCATAATTTTAATCTCCTAAAGATGCCCACTGCTCTTGAAAGTAGTATCTGCCTTTAACAGTTTGTTATTTCAGTTGTTTTTTTTAAAATTTTTTTAATGTTTATTTATTTTTGAGACA